AGGACTTTTTTCCCCAACGAATCAACTTTTAATTATCCTCGCTTTATAGTCATAGCCACTCATAGGCCCGGTTTTTCAATTGACTTTAACTGGCAGTTAGTAGAATTTAATTGCCGGTTAATACTTTGTCCCAGTTAAACTGTTTTTGGAACTCCAGTTAAGCTAACAATCAGGTTTAACCAATAGTTAAACTAACCTGACCAMTATACTATTATTTCTTCTGGTTAACTTTTTAACTGTTAGTTAATTTAATAATTATCATTGGTTATTTTATTGTGATAATAATTTTAGCGAGTACATTTTAATACATTTCACATCTATTTTTCTTCAATAATTTGAATTCAGATACTTACTAATATACTTACTTACTAACTATGCATTTCGAAAATGCGAAATACTTTTTTATGATGATGACGTTGAATTTCAAGTATATGATATTAAATATGATTGGCCCTACAATATCATCAAATACAGATAGGTACCTAGTAGGTAGTATTTACATTATTCAAAATTTTAATCCAAATAAAATAATCGGTGACTTTTTTTATGTACCTACCTATCATGCCATAACACCTACACAAAAACTATTATTAGCCCTGAGATTTTATGCTACAGGATATTTTTTAATTAGTGCTGGAGATGTTATGACTTATGGGTGAAAGTAAATCTGCTGCATGTGTTATAGTACCTACATGATGTAAGTGTAGCCTTGGCAAAACTTCATCCTCAAATAATTAAAATGCCAGAAACAAATGACGAAATAAAAGAGATGCATAAACAATTTGATGGTATAGCCAAATTTCGTTGGTTATTGGGGCGATTGACTGTACACATATTAAAATTCAAAGCCCTGGTGAGTCTTATAGATTTGTTGTACAAAATGGTGTACCTATTTGGTGTATGATTTACAGTAGTTAAAAACCTATTTTAATTATTGTAATACTATAAATTATGTAGGTATATATTTATAAAGTAGTACCTATATCAATATAGCATTGGCATAGCAGTTAACAGTGGGATATCCATAGACCTTATACTATAAGGTCTATGGGGATATCCAGATTTTTTTCGGGGGTGGGGGATTAGCTAACCTAACATTGGGGGGAAGGGGGAATGAAAACATATGTATAGTGTTTAACAATTTTTGTTTATTATTTAACAATTTTACCCTGGATATGCCACTGGCAACTAGTCTATAATAAAACATTGAATTTATYATATTATTAATAACTTTAAACTTTTTTGCTTAAAATTAATCTCAATGTTTGGCAAATGTAATTCTGTATCTAAAATAATAGAATTAAAAGTTTGAAGTCTCCACCAAAAGTTATTTGTAATTATAACAAAACAACTAGTTATTATAACTAGTGTAATTAATAAGAACTATTGATGTACTTATCTGTAAAATATCTTTAAACTACTATAATTAATAATTATGGTTAAATTACGTGACAAACTGACAAATGACAATAATAATAATACAAAGACCTTATATTAAGCCTAACCTAACCTCACACTCCGGGAGAACTAGTAGTATCCCAGAATCCCAGATCATATATGATCTAAGTATTAAGCTCTATGTAATTACAGAATAGATCTATTCTGTGATGTAATAATAAATTAATAACACATTGTTATGATAATGATAACCATTATCATTATTATTATCGCATTGCGATTTCGCTTGTCCCGCACATGGCACATAGACAAGTWTGAATATGGAAGATGGAACAGGCTAAAGAAGTAAAGACAAAAATCATTAATCCTCAATTAGTTATTTGATTATTTCACACTTATTAATACTCCTTTATTCACATGACTCAGTTCTAAGACTCGAGACTTCTGTGATTTAAGCCCAATACCTGTTGAATATTGAATAATTCATCGAATARTAATTACGTTCTTTCAGCACGTCTTATTTTGATCCTCAAATGTTTGTGCGAGTTTAGGTTGTTTTTTCATCATCGACGGTACAGCTTCGCAATTAACGACAAGAATCCCAAGATCATTATGTTTTTTAGGAAAATACTGTTTTTTAAAAC